GTCCTTGTCCTTGTCCTTGTCCTTGTCCTTGTCCTTGTCCTTGTCCTTGTCCTTGTCCTTGTCCTTGTCCTTGTCCTTGTCCTTGTCCTTGTCCTGAGGGCATAGGTTTCTATTCGGCATTTCCTGAACTGCTGAGCCTGGGCTAACCCCCGTCTTGCCGCTACGCATAGGGTCTATTTTCGCTCTCCTGCCATTCCACGGTTCGTCGCCTCTGACTTACGTGACAGGTAAGGTGCAGCATTGTGAAATTGACTTGCTTTTGTTATCCCTCCCGAACTTCAGTTAATACCTTCCATTGGATTTGGACATGGATTAACATATAAAAACATGAATATAACAAGGTATTTACAAGACACCCACTGAGCTAGTACAGACACCCCTGGGGGACCATAGTCAAAATATGGAAAAAAGTACATTTGCAATTTCCCGCACCTGCAAAATATTTTAATATCAAAAGTGAAAGTCTGCATTTATTGTAGCTTCTCTCCTTTAATCTAAAAAAAGACAAAAGCAAAGGTTTTAATTTATCAACATATTTGTTTAATCTATCTCACTCTCTTTCATGTAGATTTAAAAAATGTCCCTGAAAGGCATTTCTGCTTCCATTTCCTACTGTAGGTGAACATAAGGCACTTGCTTTGATCCACATCTTGCCCCAGACATTAAAACATTCCACTCACTGATAATCCCTTTCTTTCTCACAAAATTAAATTGGCATTGCCTTAATCTCCTTATTGCAAGCCTCAATATAATATTCTCTCACCCTCTGGTAGGTGGAATATTGACCTGCAAACAACTGACACACGTGACTTTAAACGCTCCCAGGATTCTCTTTTTCTGTCAGTCCTTTCGGAAATTAAGATTCTTTGTGATCAAGAGCACCTGTCATTTTTTAGATGCTTCAAAATCCAAACAAGTGTAACATACTGAAGAATACAGAAAAAAAGTATTCCAACTCTGCAACTCACAACTGGTAAATCACTGAAGCTAAGCAGGTGTGAGCCTTGTCGGTACCTGGATGGGAGACCTCCTTGGAAAAACAAAGGTTGCTGCTGGAAGAGGTGTTAGTGGGGCCAGCAGGGGGAGCTCACCCTGTGGTCCATGTTGGTCCTAATGCCCCAGTATAGTGACAGGGACACTTTACTGTAAACAGGTGCCATCCTTCGGATGAGATGTAAAACCGAGTTACTGACTCTCTGTGGTCACTAAAAAACCCAGGGTTTTTCTCAAAAAGAGTAGGGGTGTAACCCCGGCGTCCTGGCCTCCAATTCTATGAATTGGCTTCATTACTCTGCTCTCCTCCCCACTAATAGCTGATGTGTGGTGAGCGTTCTGGCGCACTATGGCTGCCATCGCATCATCCAGGTCGATGCTGCACATTGGTGGTGGTGGAGGGGAGTCCCCATTACCTGTAAAGTGCTTTGAGTGGACTGTCCAGAAAAGCGCTTTATAAGTGTAAGCAATTATTATATTATTATTTTTAAAACCACTGAGAGCTGGAGAAGGACATTGTGTGGAAAGATATGTGGTAGATTTTTCATATGTAAGCGAATGCACCATAACCAACAGATGCAAAAAAGTTTATGGAGAAAGACATGCTTGATAAGTGCATTAAACAACATTTTGTGTGTAAGTCATGAGGAGCAGAGCTGTGCTTGGATCCCCTGTATAGGTAGAGCAGTATAGCAGCAGTGGAGAAGGTGGAATCAGACAAAGGGAGAAAAGACGAAAGGAAGAGAGAAGATCTTACCTGGAAACAACAAGTGGAAGAATAAGCATTTTCAACATTCTCATCAGGAGCTCTCCTGGAAATTGGAAATATTTCACCTCCTGCGACAGAAAAAAAACCCACATTAGAACTGGCTGGCATAGAGAGAAATACAAAAATACCATTGCTTAATTGCTTTCTGTAGATTTGTATGTAAAACCCATGTGACTAGTTTCCCTTTTAGAAGTTTTAGAAGTGGGATCTGATAAGACTCAAGAGTTGCATACTTTTAAACTAGAGACCCATCACAACCCTGTCTTCAAATCCTCACAGAGCTACATACTGTAGTGAGACAAAAAATGGGGCAATGGTGAAGACTCCCGGAACCTTCTGGTTTAAAGAGCCACATTCCCACTAAGGCTACAATAAATGTGACTCAATGGATGTAAAGGGCAAGGAGAGAGCAAGAAACACACTAATGTTTAATAGCTAAGGACATAATAGGTTCATTAAGTTGATCTGAGCTCACCTTGAATGAATACCAGTAGCCTTGTGGGTCTCCGAGGTAAAAACCTCTGTCCCATAATATTCTAAATGTAATTGTATTCTAATTTGTATGAATAATAACCTGAGAAACTCTTTTCTCTCAAAGTTGGGAAAAGAGCCACATTTAATACAAAAAAATAAATATGCTGATTTTGGTTTTCTACTATTAATGTCTTCTCTCCAGTTTTCTGCAACCCCCTCCAGCTCTCCTTCTCTCTCCTATTTGCACTGATAATTAGTTCTGGCTGCAGAGATGGAAAAGACTGACTCCACAGTGCTTTGCAATGAGTGGAAAGGGTTTGGCTGCCTTTTTCCTAACAAGCTGAGCCAGAATCAACACGCGTGCAGACAGCTCCAGGAACCACAGAGTCTGTTACAAGGGAGTCACATGTGTGAATGGTGAGTGTGTTTGTCCTTTGGGGGGTACAATTCAAGTGACATCATGAGCATTAAATAACGAGCAGAAAATGCCTTGACCCCTCAGTTAACGTCATCCTAAAATTGGAGTGGGTTTTCGACAGTTTTTGGACAGGGTGTTTCCAGTAACTTTTGGGTGCAGCATTTTAATCATTTTTGTACCCAAACTTATGTCACCAGGAATAACAAAACCAAGGATTAAGCATCCCGAAAGGATTATGGAGTGTTTAGTGAAAATTTGGCGTAACTTGCTTGGATGAGGGCTGAGCACCTGGCCACAGGACAAGGAGGCCGGGACCCCCATGCAGCGTAAGGAGTGACCAAGGGGCAGCTGCAGAGGTGGAGATGGGGTGGAGGTGAGATGCAAAAGATGTATGCGAGGGAGAGAAGGGAATCATACAGTGCCGTATTTCCCATTAGGCACAGTGCCAAGGGCCTACGAAATTGTTAGGGCGTACGAAGGAGGGAAACACCAGTGATTAATGAAAAACCCCCAAAATGAGCTGAAACAACGTGCTTGCGATCGACTCTAGGTACTCCAAATCAATAATTATACACCAGCGGCTGTTCTAGAAACTGGAAGTATCGAAGTGATGGTTGCTCGACTGGCTCCATCAATCACTTGGTTTAGGATTAGAATAGTTGAAAGTGCATCATGTCAATCGATGTTATTCAATTGGTGTTAAACACTCGTTTTG